ATTATAAACAAACCACCTCTTGTCCCTGACGCCAAGAATGTACGTAAAATAATGAAATAGGAGACCCACTTAAGTGTCAATTGAAGAGGGACTTTTTTGGTCCATGATTATAAACAAGTGCTGTATAAAAAAAATGTATTGAAACATAAGCCATTTTATTTTTATTTTATCAAGTATATAATATTGTACAAAAAATATATACATAATTTTACATCCAGCAACGTCTTAGTTTTTTAACAATTGAAAATTAAAAGGTAAGTTAGGTAACCCCATTTTATTTCTCGTAAAACAGTTGCAATGCAATTCAAAGTCGAGTGTATTGTAAGAAATTATATAAAGAAATGTAGTTGGAATATAATCCCTCAATTGAAATTTGTATAATTCCAATTAGATTTCGGGAAAATCAGGTTTTTTTAAAACTATACGTTAAAAATACCTAGTCTGTGTAAAGTCCGCTCACGGGACGCCACAGATGTGGATTTTTCGACCATTTTGCATGACACAGTTGAAAGGTTAAAGGCTGATATGATGATTCTTGATTTCATTAGAATAATTGAAATAATAGAACATTATGTGTTCTAGCTGGTCCTATATAATTTTTTTTACACTCTTGATTTGATTTGAAGTGTTGGTGAATATATCCCATGACCCTTGCAACGCTAAATTATATACAAAGAGAGGTCATTGATTTTATGAGAGGCGCACAATGTTATGATTGATGAAATGCAGACAAAATAAAATTAATAAACGTCATTTTGAAAAGAGCGACGACCATTGGAGTACACGTGAAATAATCCCGTTCAACGACCTGAGATCTTATTCCACTAAATAATTTTTAGATACACATAACCAGATTAATAACGTTGATAATCATAAACAAGAATCAGCATCTCTAGATTACCAGCATTTAGATTGTACCCTTATATAGATATGGTGTTTCTATACAAATACTTCGCCAGAGACAGATTAATTTTTTTATCCATGTTAGCGTAAATCGGGTTGCCAGTATGTAAAGTTAATACTAACTGAAAGATATATATAATATAAGGTAAAATTTAAAAATAATAACTATATAATAATTTTTATGAATATTATTTGTTTACTCGTTATTGCACCACTAAAAGAATAATGTGTAATGTGTAATATATATATATATATATATATATATATATATATATATATATATATATATATATATATATATTACACATTACACATTATTGAAATTTAATTAATTATTATTTAATATATTTTCCCACTGTCTCGTTAAATAATAATAAAATAATTAATAATAATTAATTAAATTTATATATGTAATATATATATATATATAGAACTAAGGGAGGGCGAGGGACGGGCAGCAGCGTCCCTGTTAGCAGTTATCTTACAAACTGTGGTTGCACAAGCGTGGCAATTACTGGCAAAACCTTCCAAGGGGAGGACTTATGTTCAGCAGTACACAGAGATATATGTCTATAACAGTACACTAAAGTCGTAGGGCTTACGATTTGTTCCCTTTGTAACATAACATAATATCTTGTAGTTAATAACTAATGAAATTATACTAGCAGAATTGAGGTTCAGTAACTATGCGTATCCATCAACTCAATAGGCGTTAAAACTAAAAACTAGTAATGGTTAATATGAAGCAATATATAAGTAGAGGGAGACTTTGTACAAAAGTCGATTGCTTGGGTACCTCTGTCCCATTCGTGTTTCTACCGTGAAGCAGTTGTGTTTGCATGGCTGTGTTTCGGTTTGAAGGGTGGGATATGGCGTGAATTTACTGGGTACAGAGAAATAACACCTGAGTCCTCAGGAATGGCAACGCATGGAGGGTATCATGGGCGAAACAGTATATTCTGTTATGTCCATGGTACTGCTCATGTCTATAGGCGACGGTTACCACTTTCCATCAGGTGGGTCGTCTGTTTATTTGCCATTCTAAGTTGTATAAAAAAAAAATTAATTACAATATCTATATATTTACACAATAAATAATAGATTTAATATCGGTTATTTAATATACAATATCGAAATGATACACCCGATTGAAATTAATATAAATATCCGACTGATATGCGCAATATCGGAATGGGCTATGACCTTTTTTTCTCTATCAGTGTTCAGAGTAACCCGATATATAGATACCAAAGTGGTAACGATTTTATGGATCCGCGCCAACTAGGTAGGTGTGTTATATATCAAAAGACGCGGAAAAATCAGATTTTAACGATGATGTCGAGAAACTGTATAGGGGGGATACAAAAATTTTAATTAGGTACGAAAAACTGTCAAAAAAATTCGAATTTATTGTTTTGATGAGACAATGTGTGATTTAAGTGGGGAAACTTGCTCCGATCGGACCAAGAGTAGGCTCATAGGACGCGGGGCGACGGATAGATGGCAGAAACGAAAGAATCGGGACAGGCGCGGGAGGAAAATTCGAAAGTTATGCGGGAAAAACGAAAAATTACGATGAAAAATTCACGTTTTTCAAAGTCGATTGTATGGGCGAGTGAACGCGAGACGTATGAAAGGTACGACGATGGATAGAGGACGGCGAGACACGACTTATGATGTATCACACTTGGGGGCGGACAGCGAAAATTGGGGTGAAAATCGATGATTTGTGTTTCGCGACTACTCACCAGTTAAAGGCTGCCTTTAGCTGTCTGTGTTCACTTTACCGCGGCGGTTATTGGAGCTCCACCCATTGTTATAGTAGACGAATGGACCGCCTACCAGAACTATTCGGTGCAACGGGCCATGTATTACATTATGTACCATCTGAGGAAGCGGAGCCACTCTATATTTATTAGTTCTTCCAAGTACGAAGATCTTTAGAATAGATAAGAATTTAACTTAAGGTACCTACGTTGGCAAACAAATATAGTGTAGCAAATTTATTTTTGATAAATAATTTTCATCTCTCATTTTTATGTTTCCAGTCGTTATATGGAGAACGTTACCACTTGTATTTAGATTATTTTTTTTATTCAAATAAACTTAGGTCTAATTTATATCTAGTATTTATTAAGAAGAAGGTGGGAGAGTATTGTTAGAAATGATGTCTGGTAGTCCTATTCCTAGCAATAAACTTTATTAGATCGGTCTTCACGGGATGGGGGCAGAGGTATTATTAGGAATGAAGATCTAATAGCTCCATTGCTAGCAATATAGTCTATCAGGTCGACCTTCACGCGGATTCTCCTGGAAACCGTCGTGGTTAATTCTTGTGGATTTCCTCATGATGGGCTTGCTTTCATTCTGTATCGTTTAGTATAGTCCCTCACTGGTACCCACCAGGGTATACCGATAGCGCAGGCAGGGTTACCATTCCCGTAATACCCATTAAAAAAATTAAAAGTAAAGTTAACAAGTGATCTCAGCATTTGGTTTTCCACTATAGTGTCGAGTGCCATATACCCATAGCGAATGTATTCGGCATATTATTAGACGGTCGTATCTATGACATAGAAATTGTAGACAATCTGGTGGAGCGATACAGCGTGGTGGTACACTTGAAAGATGAGATCGATGCTAATAAATTGTTCGCAGAACACTTTAATAATTTCGCCATCAATGATACGTCAGAGGTAACGTAGTATTTGCAAATTGGATTTTTTTAAACTTTTTGCACCTTTACGTTGATTTCAGAAGCAGGAAAACCAATAAAACAGATCACTTTTACATAGCATGTTAAAGCAATAAAAGACCACTTTTTAAGATGTTTAGCTTTAGGAATAGACAGACAAAATTTCTAAAAGTTATTGCATTGTAATTGTCATGAAAATTTTACTGAATAATTTTTTAAAATTTATTTTTAGTAATAAATGATTCTATAAAGTGCAAATTTCGCGATAAATCCAAAAAAATCTCACTCGCACCCGTTTGTATGTATATTGGCGCTGGCGCTCGCATCTACGGTAGATTTTTGGCTTGTCTGACAAGATGTAAAAACTATCAAAACTGCTTAGTTACTGAGGAAACATCTTCATTATTTATTAAAGTCTAAGGATGTCTGACATGGTGTTGGTATGATACTAAGTGTCTGACAATAGATGACGTGATTTCCAATATTATCCCGAAAAAAATATTAAAGGTACTAACGATTTTATGGAGCAATTTTATACACATTTGTTACCTGTCACAGCCACGATGATCAAAACTACATACTCCCTGTTCATTCTTACCTGTGTTAGGGAAATGCGAAGAAAGTTCCAGCTTTTGTAATATCACGAACGTCTGGCCGTCACGAGGTTTTACTCTTTTTGTCTCCTTGCAGACTACTTTGTAGTTCAGAAGGTTGTCCCCCAAATCGTTCTTAAAGATTTATAAAAAATGGTAAATGATCTGTGATATTTACAGGTTTTAGTGAACGTTCAAATGCTTGACGACCTGACATAGGCGGCTATATTTGAGAAGATGGAGAACTTGCAAGCGCAGAATCCCCAAATTTACTCCTACATAGTCATAGCTATACCTGTAGATTATATTTACAACTCAATTATCACCAATGAAGCAGGCTTCAAACCTGCTGCAGATCTATTCTCTTGTTCTTATTACAAAAAGTATTTCCCAAAGAAGGCCAAAAGAGTGCCAAATGCTCAAACTTTATCCAAAATCATTTTATTTGAAAAGAAATATGATACTTTGAAACATGAAATTGAATTAATTGCCTTGGTCGGTAATATTTAATAGGTAGATTTGTGTGTATTAAAAAATAGAGTTAGTATCAAGTTATGTACCATGCCACGAACATATAGAAAGGATGTAGGTATGTACAAATTTTTATGATGATAAATATGTAAAAGCAATATGAAATTAATATATAATTTATGCAAATAACTTAGTAATAGTTTATTTTATTATTATTCTTTGTTATAAGACTTTAATTTCATTGTTTTTAAAATAGATAAGCGTTATGCTTAATTGATATCGTAAGCTTATATTATTGATGCTGTTAGTTTTGGTGATAGAAATAATAAAAGTCCCCGTTTTGTTATTTGTGTTTAATTATTGTACAATACATATACTAGTTTATTAGTATTTATTATTTAACAAAGCAGGTATAGTATGTTTCAATAGAATTTAAAGAAAGGGCAACAAAATTTTCTCTTTCAAGTCTCTAAATGAAGTTAGAAACAAATCGAAACGTTCAATTAATCGTTCTTTGATTTGTACAAAATTGATAATAATAAGAATAACTATTTATCTGTTTATATTTACAATAAATTCTATTGAAAAAGACTAGTAAGTTATCCAGTTTCCACAAAATGAGACCCAGTGCAACATAAGTCCAAATCACCGTAAGCGTCTGCGCATACGAAAAACAAATCAAAGTGGAGACAAAAAAGTATGGCGAATACAGGCTCTCGTCTGCAAATGGCAAGCGATGAAATATCCGCGAATCACGATACACAATAGGACCCCAGAGGGCCTACCAAGAAGTGTTTTCTGAAGTTTCGGGGCTGAACGAAACATAAGTTTGATGTTAAATAACATAATAAACACTATTTAAAAATATTAATACATCCTTCCTTTGAAATTTTATAAGATTAAGCCCGAACGAAACGTTAAGCTCCGATTTCGATATGAATAAAAACACGAAATTGAGACCGACAATTAGGAATTTCATTTCATGGTAGACCTTCAGAATCCCGGGTTACACCACCGTCAAAATTATTATTATTAATGCTTTCCAAAATAGGCTTATAGATTATTCATCTTCCAAACATTTTTCAATCATTTGGAGTCGACATGCCAATTTTTGCCTTCTCACATGCCTCTCTTTAATGTTTTATATTTAAATAAAATGAAGCCAAAATGTTTTAAAGGTCGTCACATATAACAGTACTAATATAAGAATGTAATTAATTGGTGTTAAACATCAGCTAATAAGGCCATATTGAATTTAGAATTTGTAATATATAAAATAAAGAAATAACAAAAGTAGCCAAAACTAAGCATTAAGCGGACTATTTTTAAAGTTAAAGAACACTGCTTAATGTCACATTGTAAAGATAAAATTGCAATTCTCGGTCGTATAGAGAGAAATTTTCAGAACTATCCAAAATATTACAAATTAATTACAGTGAGCGAAGTTCTTGTTTAGGATTAAAACAATGCGTTATTACCAGCTTCAAAAATAAAATTATTAAATAAAGTGGTAATATTTTTTTTTTCATAAAGAAAAACGCTTTGTTTAGAAAAAAAGCTTAAATTTGTAGAAATCTATTAATCACAAAATTGCTTAGATGGTTACGATGCTAAACATGTACGTCAATGTGTTGATAGAAAGCAAACCATGTATATGCTTGTATCATGCATAAGAATTTGAATTGAGTATTAGTATGCAATTATATAGGCATTATATACAAAATAACCGATTTGTTACCATAACAATGGTCAAAACTTGCCTTCCTACTCATATTTCCTCAAAACAACATAAATACTATATAACCATATACCGTACGATTTTGGCGCCACAATTTTTTGGGAACAAAATGTATAAGTGTGTACGGAGACGCCATTTTAATCTTCTGCAATAATATTTTCTATATATTATTTGCATGTTCTAACTTATGTTCAAACTTGATAAATGTACATATTTTTTTTTAAAACTGCCACTACAAATTTAGATGCATATGAATAGAATAATCGTTGGCACTCGGTTATTTACTTAACCTGTTAAGAATTTTGGGTGAAAATAAATTTATAACACAAAATATTTTTGTGTATTTATGAACACATATCACGAAATAAACCACTTTTAAAGATCAATAAGAAATAATATATCACGCAATTGCATGTACACCTCTACTATTTTTGATGCTTTTATGACTATGGTTGCAATCAATCTAGATCTTTCTGAACTTTATTAAGCCCTTTGTAATTTGTCCTGAGTTTTTCAATGAATAGGAAAAAATATTTAATGTGTAATTTTAGCATTAAATTACTAAAAATAAAACATTTCACTCATGTGACTGAAATATCTTCACATTACAAGCTTTTGTAAAACTATTAAATATTTCAAAGTGGTGCTATTATGTTCATCATCAACACCATCATATCAGGCGTTACCTGATCATTGCTGAACAAACACCTCTCCCATAGATTACCATAAGGAACAATCTCGAGCCAAAGGTCCGTGGACCATTTTTTGTTAGTATTTGCCATTAGGGAGGGGAGAGAGGATTTAGTAGTTATCATGCTTGGCAAGCAGATTGGCAACCGCGTTAAACTTTGGTGATGTTTTAAAAGGGACGCTGTTATCCATCCCTCGACCATTCAGTTTCCTTATTTGCCTATAACAACACGTATGGAAAAGTAAGGGGTGGCCCCTTCTATGCTAGGACCACACAATGGATACATATAACCTAATACTCTGTCCCTATACAGTCATGATACTCAATCTATGACGTGCGTCGAGCAAAAGACCTATTGTAATATTACATAATATTATTATGTCACTTTTCGTAAACTAAAAAATTTCTATTTAAATTACTGTATGTCTTGACTAGATATATTACTATATTATCTAAATTTTGACTAGATAATTAGATAATTAATACTTTATACTACCTATAGTTGGAGATCCTTTATATACATCACTTTGACACCTACCAATAAATATTAAAACTTAAACTGCATACAGGCTAGTATTTGGAGAATAAACATTTAAATTTCTAATTATCCGTAACAGGGCAGTAATCTAAACTGTACTTGACAATACTCCCAGTGAAATGTCCCATTACTACATTATAGAAGTGGATATTGTGAACTATCATATGTCACTACAAAAGCTGTTTATACTCTTATTCAAGTGGAGATTACATTATTAATACTTTTTTATTAATAATTACATAAAAATTATTATATGAAATTAGTCTTCTTAAAAGATGCTAAACTGAGGTCTGTACTGGTTTTTAACTTTTTTTTTAAATGCGTTTTTAATGCATAGAACACAACATGTGTTATAAAAAATTATATATTCTTTTTAAAAAAAGGTAATGTTAATATTGCAATCTCCATTTGATATTAGGCTTTTTCCCCCTAATGCAATGTTGTGTGTGACCTATGCAACTCTGCAGTAGAGCCCCGGGCATGAGCCATCATGTTCTCTATTCTATTTGTTGTCTCCCTTACCATAGAGAATTCAGATAAATCTGGAAGGTCTAACACTATATGAGCAGAGAGACGTTTGTAAACAGAATTTGAATCTTTTTTATTTCTCCTTGCTTCCTCATATTTTAATTGTTGTTTTAAAAATATAGATTGTTTTAACATTTCTTGTATATTCTTGAAACTGGTCGCAGCACCATCCATAGATTTCACAGCACTGAAAAAATAATTCATTAAAAATATTTATATATTATAGATATAAATAGCATCTTCTCTCCTTACGAGCATTGTATTAGTATGTTAAGTATATATCTATGTCTATGTATATATGTATGTATGTATCATTATCATGTCATCCCTTAACTGTCCACTGCTGAACATGAGCTTCCCCCTTTGGAGAGTTTTGCCAGTAGTTGCCACGCTTGGCAGGCAGATTGGCAACTGCTGTTAAGCGGGGGGAAAGGGATTGTTAGCATTGGAGTTTGACAGCCCCACTACTAACAATATGCCCTATCAGATCGACCTCGATGTGGTTCCCCCTGGAAACCATTGTGAACAATTCTTGTTGAATTCATCACGATGGGCTAACTGCCTTGCTTCATCCTCACCTATCATCCTATTCACTAGTGCCCTGCCGGTGTATACCATTAGCACAGGTGGAGTTACCATTCCATTATCACCCTTTAAAAAAAACTGCTGTTAAGCTTTAGACATGTTTTAAGAGGGATGCTGCTGCCCATCCCACGTCCTCCCTTAGTCGGCTCTTACAACACCCACGGGATAGAAAGAGGTGGTCTATTCTATATCGGGACCACACGGCTATGTATGCAAATCAGCTCATGCAAATCAGATATGTGTTACAAATGGGGTTAAAAACCTTGCAATTTACCTTAGAGCATATTCTACATCGTAACAACGGCCCTGTAGTTCGTGCTGCAGTTTGGTGACCTCGACTCTCCTCTCCACCATCGGCGGTAACGCTTTTCGAACGTGTTCTTGCAGCCTGTACAGCGCCAACGAGGGCTCATTTGCTACTATGTGCATGTTTTCCGATATTCGTTCGGCAGCTGAAAACGCGTAATTCAAGACATTATTGTTAACATATTTTATTATATCATCATCTTCCTACCCTTATCCCAGTTATTATTTGGGGTCGGCGTAATATGTTTTTATCCATATTACAAAAAGATTTGGCTTTTAGTTTTACGACCGGCTGCCTGCCCGACATCAACCCTTTTTGGGATTTTATTATATATAAAGAAAAAATTATGTATATTACCTTTTTTAGCTTTGGATTCTAAATCCTGGTCCCCTTGATATACGAAAGCCATAATAGAAATAAAACTGTGTCTCTTTATACACAAACAGTGAACATGTTTACTTTACAGCTAGATAACAAGTCCAACGGATTTACTTAAAGAGTTAAGTAAAATTTAATTAATAATATAAAAACAAATGATTATATGTATATTGATAATGATAAGAGTTTATGAAAATGAATACAAAGAACAAGTACTGACAGGGGCTCAGTAACTGTCAACTGTCAACCATATGATGACTTATTGTCTGTCACGATTAATAATTACCATTACATAAGAGTTGACACTGGCCTTGTATCAACAGAACCTGGAAATATATTATAATGCATGTTACCTTTTTGAAGTAATAACATAGTGAAAATTATAAATAAAAGCAAAATAAATTAATATCCATAGTGTTGTACTACTATCTATATATATCTTCATCTAATATATCGGCATTGACAGTTGCCATAAAAATCTAGTTAGTTCATAACATAAAATTTTCAAATTTTACAATAAATATTGGCAATAAAACAAATATCTGTATATTATTTTATTTAATCTATTACAATTTTTAATCTATTTTTTTGACAGGAAAATAATGCAAATTCCCTTTGAAGCATTAAACAATTGTTGGAAACACCGTACCGAGTTAAACAGCATCTGAAAAATACATATTCAATTCTAAAGAATATATAAGGCGCACAAGAGATACAGCTCTATTTGTAGTTACAACATTATTTTAAATACATATAACTGTAATATTATTAAAATCATTTTTATTTTATAAGATGATATTATTTTTGATTTAATGATGATTGATTTAATTTAACAAGAAACAGTATACTACAAATACATATAATTAGTAAATGGTTTATACATAATTTTAAGTACTTTTTATCTTCATAATACCACTACTTATAGTTCAATTTCAGTAGATAATATATGTAAATTTTAATTATAATTAATTATTTATATTTTTATTTATTACTACGTAATTTATCATAACACTTATTACTTATTTTAATATAAAACAGTATACATTTATGCATTTTTTTCAATCTGTGCAGTAACATAGTTTCATAGAAATACATCATTTCAACAACGATGTTTCAACTTTTGCGGATCAGATTTTGATTCATACAGTGTTTGCCTTGTATTTTCTGTTTATTAATTTGTTATCAATCTACAATATTTTCTTATCATCTTTTACTATCAATTAATCGTTTCATTTTATTATTAAGTAAGGAATCGTAAAGTAAAAGCAATTGAATTTAGTGACATCCGTGTATTCACGATGACAAAACTTTCGTAAATAATTTTAAGAGGTATGTATTTTATATTAGGTAATATTCTTTATAAACCTATTGTTTTACTAGAATAATATATATGTAAGTAAGTAAGCACTTAGTAAGTTTTTATTGATTTATTTCAGACACAATCTGCAAGCAATTTTCCTACCCTCATTTTTGTATATATTTTTTTTCTGGTTGAATAAAAGTAATTTAACTAGCCTAAATGGTAAGGATCATCTATTATTTTTCATTAAATGGATCTGCCTGCCCCATTTTGGATTATAGACAGCAAATACAGGAAGAAATCGAAAATATTAGCAATATATAAAACTAAGAGACTTCCCATGATATAACTAGGAAAGAAATTCTGTGAATCAAAAAAGAACACATATTTTTTTTATTGACAAGACTACAAAGGACGCTAACAATTTCGATTTCACCATGTCTATTAGATTCATTAGATGTAACTAATTTGATTTATCACTAATATTTTAATTAAGTATATATTTATATAATTTATATATTAAACTTTTTTTTAACAAAATAGTTGTATTTAGTAAGCAAAAACTGGATAACACTGGAAACATACAATTGGTTTCATTTTTTGCTGATTGGTTCATTTGATTTTATTAAATCTATTTTAGTGAATATGGGTTTAAATATATATTAAAACGGTACATACTAACATCATTAACAATAAAAAAAATTATATCTAAAAATATAAGAGATTAAAAAGGCTCTTTTTTCAGGAATCGCGTTTAGTGGATATAGCATTGGGAACATTAATGAATTTTATGTTCCCTATCAAAATGTTACTTCGTGTCTACTCACTTAGTATTTTGATGGTAGACATTGTTTGGGTGGTGGTCAATGCCATCTATGCAGTGTTCCAGACATTTTATGAATTATTTAAGCCACCACCTTTGAAATCTGTGAGATTGGAGACTGCTTTGGTAAGAATTTTGTTTTTTTTTTGTTATAGAGAATACCAAAGAAATTTACTGTCTGATGAAAATTGGCTACTATAGCATATTGACATGAACAGTACCATGGACATCACCAAATACTCTGTAATGCCTTTTTTTTATACAACTTAGAATGGCAAACAAGCTGATGGCCCACCTGATGGAAAGTGATAACCGTCACCTATAGACATGAGCAGTGCCATGGACATAACAGTGTATATTGTTTTGCCCATGATACCCCCATGCGTTGCCATTCCTGAGGATTCAGATGTCATTCCTCCATACCCAGTAAATTCACGCCATATCCCACCCTTCAAACCGAAGCAATGCAACTTCACGGCCATGCAAACACAACTGTTTTACGGTTGAAACACAAATGGGACAGAGGTACTCAAGCAAGCAACTTTTGTACAAAGTCTCCCACTGGTAAATCTTCCTATGGGTACCCTTGAAGACTATAAAGTTACTTTCTCATGCTTTGTAAGTTCATATCTTCAATGCTTTTAGGTGAGTTGACAGCACCATAAAAGAAATATAAATAAACACCATAATAAGTATTTTATCATTATTAATCCATTAAAAAATATATTATTTTATACATAAGTGACAATGACATTATTATTTACAACATGTATTATCATGATAATTTTTTTATAAGCTTCTTGTTGCTATGAATTTGTATTATCTTACTAATCTTACTAGGTATGCTTACTAATATATTTATTTTAACTTTTTAATTTGCTAAACAATTTTAACATGACATTTTACTTAATAATAATTAAAAATATTTAGATAAAAAAGTATTTTACCTTTTCTGACACATAACAAATGATTTTAAGCAAAAAAAAAAATCATTATAGTACTAATAGTCTTTTTTACTTAAATTATCTTGTTTACTATTTTATACATGTTTGTTATTGTTATTCTATATATATGGTGGTCAAATTAAAATTCAATTTGGTTTAGAGATGAACAGAGTTTGTACAGAGGAATAACACCTGAGTCCTCAGGAATGGTATTTTACCAACATTGGCAAACCCACAGTTTAGTAGAGAGTGCAGAATGATTACTTAAAAAATACCTTTTTAAAAGAAGTAGTTTTTTTAATCTAATAATGATATAATTCATGTAATTTAAATGAAGTGACTAGAGACATCACTGCTAGTACTCTATCAGGACATTTTCCACATGGTTCCCCATTGAAACCATATCTACCCTCCATCCTCACTTAATACCCATCATAGTATTCTGCGGGTAAAATCTGGTAGCACAGGTGCAAATCTAAATCTATTAATTATTGAATATTTATAGTAAAAAATACATTAATATGGCAAATGACTGTTCCTGATAAGAGAATTAAGAAATCATCAGTAGTTGTGATTTCATAATTATCTTCATTTATTTCAGGTTATCGGATCTGGAAGGGGAGTTGGTCGGGAAATAGCCATTCAACTAGCTGACTTAGGGGCAATAGTTCTTTGTGTTGATAAAAATAAGATCAATAATGACAATACAGTTGATATAATAAAACACAAAGGTGGTTCCGCTGTGAGCTTCACTTGCGATATAACAAAGAAGGAGAATGTTAAAAACTTAGCTGCTGAAGTAAAAAAGGACTTAGGCTTCACGAGTATGCTCTTCTACTGCTGTGGCATACCAAGTCCAAGGTCATTAATCACACAGCCTCCGCAGGATATCCACAATACACTGGACCTGACATTGACATCCTATTTTTGGGTGAGATAATTTGTAATTCCAAATTACACCAAAAAATAAGTCTAAAACATAAATATGTTTTATAATTTGTTATTAAAACGAATGAACGGAGTATTTCTTCTAAAAACCGTCTTAGAATAATCGTCATTGTAACATTAAAATTGAAATTTTAATTTTAGACAAAGAATGGTGTTTTTCAATGAGTCAGAAGAAAAGAATCATTCATTATCGTCTTCCTACCCTTATTTCAATTATATGAAGTTAGACTTTGTACAAAAGTCGATTGCTTGGGTACCTCTGTCCCATTCGTGTTTCAACCGTCAAGCAGTTGTGTTTGCATGGCTGTGTTTCGGTTTGAAAGGTGGGGTATGGCGTGAAATTACTAGGTACAGAGTGTACAATAACACCTGAGTCCTCAGGAATGGCAACATATGGGTGGTATCATGAGTAAAACAGTATACTCTGTTATGTCCGTGGTACTGCTCATGTTTATAGGCGACGGTTACCACTTTCCATCAGGTGGGCCGTCAGCTTGTTTGCCATTCTAAGTTGTATAAAAAAAAGCATATGTTTTTATCTATATTACTCAAGGTTTTAGCCTGCCTGATATCAACCCTCCTGACCTGCTTTCATCCTTTGTTTTCATCTCTCACTGGTGCCCTGTCAGCGTACGAGGTTTGTCCGGAAAGTACGTATAAAAGTTTTTTAAAAATTTTATTTTACAATTATTCAGGTAAATCAATTTTATCCCCTTCAAAGTACTCCCCCTGTGACATAATGCACTTGTGCCAACGCCGTTTCCACTGTGAGAAGGCTCCTTGAAAGTCCTCTGGTTGTAGGTTTCTCAGCTGCCCCGTCGTAGCTTTTTTTATCTCATTTATGTCCCCCAAATGCCGCCCCCGAAGTACCAATTTGGTTTTTGGGAACAAGAAGAAGTCACACGGGGCCAAATCCGGCGAATAGGGGGGTGTTCGGTCACCGTAATGGAATTTTTACTCAAAAACTCACGGACAACAAGAGAGGTGTGGGCAGGGGCATTGTCGTGGTGAAGAATCCAACGCCCCTCTCGCGCCAATTCTGGACGAACTCGTGCCACACGAGCTTTGAGGCGTCTGAGCACATCGACGTAGAATTTTCCATCAACTGTCTGGCCTGGAGGGACGAATTCTTGATGGACAATCCCCCGAACATCGAAAAAAACAATCAACATTGTCTCGGCCCTCTCTGAATCTTTTTAGCCACTTGTGGACGGTTGGTTCCTTCACAGCATCATCCCCATAAACTGTTCTGAGATCGGCAAAAATTTCACGGCCATTCTTGCCGAGTTTCGAGAGAAACTTGATTACGACGCGCTGCTCTTCAACGGAAGCGGGCTCCATGCCGACGGGGTTTCGTTAAGAGGTAACTTCACAGATGGCGTGACAAGCCAGTTCGCACCGCACGGCGGTCAGACCAGAACTGAAGCATTGTTAGGGACATAAGGAAGGGGTCCTGCGCTTACCTGGCCTCCCCACTCCTCTTTCTCGCATTCCAGAACACTTTTATACGAACTTTCCGGACAGACCTCATATACTGATAGCGCAGAGGGGGTTACTATTCTATTTTTGACCATTAAAAATCCCCTCCTTGGAAATTGATTATTGTTAAAGATTTTGCAAATCAGATGTTTACTCAATGCTTATCATTATATCACCCATTGACTATTTACTGGTGAATATCCTTATAAGGGCAGTTTTATCAGTTGTTACCATGCTTGGCAGGCAGATGGGTTGGTAACCACAGTTAGGTTTTGGTGATGTTTTAAAAGAAACACTGCTGCTCATTTCTCAACTGTTAAATTGCACGTAAGTGTGAATAAGGGAGATTCAATGGATGATAATGAAATGGTAACCCCGCCTGCGCTAACGGTATACGCTGGCGGAGCACCAGTGAGGGATGATAGGTGAGATTGAAAGGGCAGGTCAGTTAGTCCACCGTGATGAATACACCTAGAATTCAGCACGATGGTTTCCAGGGGGAACCACGTGGAGGTCGACCTGATAGGGTACATTGCTAGCAATGGGACTGATAATCCACATTACTAACAATCCTTTCCCCCCTTGACTAAGGGAGTGTGTGTGTGTGAGTGAGGGAACATAACCTCGTTTTACCTTCCACATCTTCTTTTCCGTGGGCGTCATAAGAACCCCAATGGAAAGGAAGGAGTGGCCCATTACAAATCGTGCAATATTATCATAAGTTTTGAGATAAAAAATCAGAAATTTGGCTTTGCCCATTGTGTTGTAAAAGATCCATATAAACGTTTGATTCTTGAAATACAGTTTTAATACATACGGTTTTAATATATAATTCATTTCAGCTAATTGAATATTTCATGCCCGATATGAAAGCTAAGAACCATGGACATATAGTGGCCCTCACCTCTGTGGCTGGTCTAAGCTATTTAAAAGATCAGATGCCGCTCAGTGTAGCACAGTTTGCTGTCCAGGGCCTAGCAGAGTCACTACTGGAGGATCTTAGAATCAACAAAGTTAATGGTGTACATGTCACACTTACCCATATATACCCATTCATAATTGAAGAGGATTCAGATTTGAGGTTGAAGTAAGTTCCATTTGTAAAATAATATATTTTTGTTGGAAAACCCTGTTTATGACTGGGAGCTATTTACGCTTCGCTGTTGGAATACTACGCGTAAAGGTGTTTGAATGTTTTTTTCTATTATTTATTTAATATTGTTTTCAAAATTTTCAATTAAACCAAAATATTTTGTACCGATATAAGAATATACTTCTTTGCTTTTCCACTTGCTTATTCTCTTTGCGTGGTGTTAATTTTCATAATTACGTAAAATGGAAAAAGGAATCTTCAAAATCGGTTCAGAATGAGCAAACATATCGCGCGAATTAGCCATGTTTTACACAAAAACAGTCGTATTAATATTGTTCTTAAACGTGGCTGAAACAAAGAAGTTACAGTTTAGTTACAAAGTATATATGTATATATATCACATATATTTTCTGTGATGTATATGGTTGTCTAAAGGTGAGAGCCATCAGGTAGACTGTCAGATTTTTGCTGTTCTAAGTTTCATAAAAGAAAACCTTATATTTACAGGATTTCAAGTTACTTCGGCACAATAACACCTACTCAAGCAGCCAAATCAATCCTAGAAAGCGTCCGACGCAATTACCCTGAAGCTTCAGTGCCCAAGCACCTGCTGTACCTCGGTCACCTGCTGCGAATCCTGCCGCGGAAGGCGACCGTACTCATCAGGGATTTACTCGATACCGGAGTAGACTTCGCATAGATTACAGTTTGTATTGCCATAATAGTGAGCAAATGAGCCGCTTCGAATAGACTGCAAGAGAACAAAAATAAAGCTGGCAATTGATTTTTAATTTTTTTGTAATGTCTCTTACATTGCAAGCTAAGGATCTTGGCAGATATTTACCATGACTTATATTTATTATATATAGAATAAACAATCACAAAAAGATGTCTGCTTCAGTGAATATTACATTATGAACGAATTTCAGATCAGTCGTTGGCTTAGGCTATGATTTCATCTAAGTTTAAAATATTTGAGGGATTTTGTTACCTTTTATTTTTCAGGGAATTCCTCAATTATATGATGTGATATTGTAGATTTGTTTGAGTACTGAGACAGTGAAATAATTGTGTCAAATATTCAATAAGGCCACTATTTATTACAATGAGGTGTTATATTGCGAAAGGTTATCTTATGAGCTATTGGACTGAGATTATTTTGTCCAGTTGTTACTATTTATATCAAATCTTTAATAAATATAAAAGTAAAATAGTGTTTAATATGACCCATGTGAACCTAGATAACTTTTTGTTTCCAAACTTAAAGATAATTTTCTAATTCTAATTGGTTGTTTACATAAATATTTAATTTATTTATATAATTTTCTATAGAAGCTTACATAATTATTTATAATTTCGAACTTTACTATTTTCTTTATTTTTCTTAAAGTTGAATTCAACATTGTTAGTTTTTTTTTAATGCATAATTCTTACTATTAGTCCAAGTGCCTTCCAAACTTGGTACAAAAAAGGGCATTTGGTCTGTATTGCTTTAGAGATTATACATGTATATCTTACTTTTTAGCACATTCCGATTTACAAGTTGTCTTTCTTTATAATTGTATATTTGGGGATAATAAAATATGTATAACATTTTGTCCATTTGTATAATTAAGGAAAGGTATCTCTATCTATCTTCAAGCTAAGTCCCTTGCGAGGTAGGCACAGAGAGTGTATTTTATTTTTATAATATATATATATTTATATCAGTGATGGACTGTGCTATTAACTTATTATAAGGAAATAAATGTAATTTGTAGTATTTCGAATGTGTCATTTGAAAATTTTAATTAATGCAATAATGTCTTAAATATTATTATAATTTTTTGTTTTTTAGAATTTATTAATTTTTATAGAGAACTATGCCAAAAATATCTATTATATTAGTTTTTAGTTCCATCATTATTTTATTATTGATTATTCATATTTTTAAAATTATTATAGTGTTATTTATTAAAAAAATTAAGAATTATAAAAATATATTTTTGCTCAAGAAATAGATTTCATACAAATTTATTTTATATTTATATTTACATAGATCTCTAATGTTGCATTTATTTTGTAAAATATTGGACTGACTATAAAAGTATAAAAGGGTAGCCTAATTATGTATAAAAATGAAATATATTTCCCATATTTATAACTGTATTTTTACTGAAGAATATAAAAATATTTTATAAAATACTAGCAAATATTTTTTTTTACCTCTATTTTTACGCGATATCTTCGTTAGATCTGTATTGATTTTGTTAATTCGGTATTTCGGTTTAAAGAATAGCGTTGAGTAGGTCACTGGAGTGACTACTCATACTTATATAATAGCAATAGCAATGCATTAGAATTACTATGGGCCCCAGCAGCGGCGGCCTTACTCATTGCTAGGCCCCGGGCGGTAGGTCTTTGCGAAGGGCGGTAGGTCTGCGCGTTTACCGCAAAAAAGACGCCGTTTGTCGTATCTCCTCACTTTCAGGGCACTTCCCTTGATAAAAAGTCAAGTCTAGGAATTCTGGGCGTTGATATATCTTGCGACGTCCAGTTTTGCGGTCATCTGGAGGAGAAGGCTAAGATAGCTTCCAAAAAGTTAGGAGTGCTCAATAGGGTGAGACGATATTTCATGCCAGAACACCGCCTGAAATTATATAAAGCCCAAGTCAGGCCGCATATGGAATACTGTTCTCACCTGTGGGCAGGAGCGCCACAGTACCAACTCCTTCCGTTAGACCGCATTCAAAGTCGGGCGGCTCGAATTATCGATAGTCAACGCCTTACTGTCCGACTTGACCCATTGAAACTGCGCAGAGATGTTGCGTCTCTGTGCATCTTCTACCGAATTTATCATGGGGAGTGTTCTGAGGAATTGTTCGGATTGATACCTGCTGCTGATTTTCACCACCGTACAACCCGCCACAAACTAAAGTTTCATCCCAATCATCTGGACGAGTGGCGGTCTTCCACCGTGCGTTTTTCAAGGCACTTTCTTCCACGCACAACCATTCTTTGGAATCAACTTCCAGCAGCAGTATTTCCGAACCGATACGACAACATAACCTTCAAGAAAAGAGTATATTCCTTTTTAAAAGGCCGGCAGCACACCTGCAATGCCGCTGGGTGATCATGGGCGGCGGTAGTCACTTACCATCAGGTGAGCCGCACGCTCGTATGCCCCCTGTGTTGTAAAAAAAAAAAAAAAAAAAAAGGATGCGATAGGATGCGAAACTAGGTCTGGTTGTTTTGTCAAATATCATGTTTGACGAAAAATGTTAAAATTATACAAATTAATAAAATTTTAGTTCTAACATATATATATATATATATATATATATATATATATATATATATATATAAAGCTGTCTTATTTTACATTCTACAATATTTTTTTTTTATTTGTATATTTTAGTGTTGTAATTTTGTTCATTTGCGATTAAAATGCCCAAATCAGGAAGTCTGCGACTTGCCACTAGACAAAATGTCAATCACTGGTTGTTTAAAATTTACTTGGGTCGTTACGCAGGGTTCCTACAAGAGCGAGGCCCCGGGCAAATGTTCTATTCGCCACCCTCTAAGGCCGCCGCTGGCCCTAGTGTATGTGTATTTTGTCATGTTAATGGTGTTATTCGTTTTTAGTTCATAATTTTCACTTTCTATAAGTAGGTCATATTGTAAAATCTTTATGTTATATATATATTTACATTGGACACATTAAAAAGAATATACAATGGTGGACTTCTAGAGGGATCTCTTACAGTCAACCTTTGAGAAACGGGGGGAAAGGGATTGTTAGTAATAGAGACTTAAAATCCCATTGCTTGCAATATATCCAACCAGGTCGACCTCCTCGCGTTTCTCCCTGGAACTAATCATGGTTAATTCCTAATGAATTCATCATGATGGGCTAACTGGCCTGTTTTTATTCTTATCTATCACCCTTCACTGATGCTCCGCAAGCATATACCGTTAGCGCAGGCAGGGTTACCATACCATTGTCACCCATAAAAAAAAAAAACCTTTGAGAAACTGATAAAAACTACAGGGTCGATAGGTTGTTTATGACAATACTGAGTGGAATAATTGAATAAGATTATTTCTTCTGACGAAAAAATAAAAATACAATATGCTGACTCTTTACTTCTAGGACGTTACGCCCAGTTTTAGCGTACTTGGCACCCTTAATAGTACGGTATATTATAACTATGCTGGCAACCCTAGACAAATTTTAGTGGAATTGTTAAGCGATTAGATACACGGAACAAGTAATAACTTCGTTATATTAACTTAAAGTATTATCATTATCCTATAGAATAAAATGTTTAAATTATACGTTTATTTAGATGTCGAACCATAATGACAAATTACTAAAATAGATAATTGTATAACTGGTAATAAAGACCGCTAAATGTCATTTTTGCCGATTGATGCTGAAAAAAATCTGTCAGATGTCAATGCTAGCAGCCTGGCTGTCAATTCATTCAATTTCATTTTGGCATTTTGTGAACTAGCGCCATCTCACTTATTTTCTTTGCTTTTTCCCGTGTTTCTTGTGAGTTTTGTATTACAAAAACAAGGAAATAAACAATTCTAGTGTTTCGTGTATTTGTTTTCATGTGATATTATTTGTGAAATAAGACAATTAAGTGTACGTGTTATCTAAAGCTGAAACTACTGAGGCTGTCGAAAGCAGGCGAGTAAAGCAAACCTGTTCTAAATTGCATGTAGACGACAGTCGCTAACACAGCCGATCGATATTAGAAAACTATTGTTTTATTGGTATAATCATTTCATATTTAATCCTCATAAAGAATTATACGAGTTTCCTCTTGTATGCACCAATTAAAGTATAGGAGCCCATTTAGAAATCCGAGTTGTGCGACGACTTTCTAATACCTATCTGCCAACAGCCTCGCAAATTAAATTTTCTTATTTAGTTATCATAACTTCCTAAATAATTTTAGACTTAATATATGTGCACCTATTCTTTTACTAACTAATAATAATAATTATGAGAAAACTTTATGCGTATTTATAATTTCGGATTTATAACTACATTCAAAATTATGAAAATATTGTAGCTAGCGACAATTTTTATTCGAACAAAAAGCAGTAGCTGATAGAAAAATCGATAGGTATAAAGAATAAAAAAGTACTACTCACATTATTTTTGTATTTTGTAAACTTGTGCTCATACATTTTTCCATAGATATATTCATTTCTCTATTTACATAAGCTACCTGTAGTTTTGTTGCATTTTAATTATTTTGGTTATTTTTAATCTTATTTAAAGTATAGCTGTTTCTTTAGTGTACAGCTTATGATTAATTTATTAGAGGTATTATTTAACCAATTATGTATATTTTAAAATTCTAAATCGAGGGTTAAATTAAAAATTAGTTTCCATTACTTTGTTCCTGAACTATAAAAAAGATTAAAAGAGTGCATAAAATTTATTAGGTTCATAAACAAATCAATAAACTGTCCTATTATCATTTTTATATGAAAATCTAATAGTATTAATAAAATATACCTCTATAGTACCACTTCATTTACTTGGGAGTGCATATTAGGTATGATAGAATTATTTTAAATTATAGTTATTTGATGGCCACTGACAAAAAAAAAGGGAATTAAAACAGTTGTATAAAGTGTATGGTGACTGTTTTATTTTCTTTTTACCAAGTCATAATTATATCTTTATACATGCAAATAGGGAAATAGATTATAATGCTATAGAAATGGTGTATTAAGTTGGGAACATAAGATGGTTTTGTAAGTGTTTAGGTTTCTTGGTGTAATATTTATATATCTATAAATGTCCATTTTTATTTTATTTGATCTAGGAATAATGAATCTACTTCCAGCAGATTTCATATAATTTATGAAGCATTACAAATTAAATAAGACTCAAACAAAATTGGTTTGAGTTTCCTAAAGACATGTTTCTGACATAACAGTTATTATAATATATTTGAAAATTCTCTAAAAAATTTTTGTAGTAATTATTAAACACATAATATTTTTCAACCTCACTTTAGACTTGCCGTTTTATATTTTTTCTTCTAAGGTTTTAGTTTTATTCCTTTTTTCTATTTTCCAGATCCATTCCTATCCTGTTTCCGCCAGTCCTGTCTACCTTATCCATAAAACTATATATTATCAAATAAAATACTTTAATAAAACAGTTATTAATTTATGTCCATTAGTTTGTAATGTCTAATAAAATGAAATGTATAGTATGATATTATTTGTTATATTAAAATAATAAATATGTAACAACAGAGGTTTTATAATACTCTTGTTTTCTTTAACAGTGCCTGTCAATTTTCACATCTAGTGTGACTTCTATGGATGGTCATTGCATAATAAAAGTTGCCAATATTTACGAGTACTAACAATTAGCTGTTGTACTGTACTTATACAATTGTATCGTTATATTTATTAATTATCTTGCTTATTTCCTATATTGTATAATGCAAATAAAGTAAACTCATTCATTTATTAGCAATATTTTTATATTAAGTGTCAAGGAAAACTGTTACTAGCATAATATTTGAGTGACACTTCCATTCATGTAATGCAGACACTGGAGGGTTTGAATGGAAGACAGATAGTAAGTTTTGACAGTAAAACTGTCACTGTTTGTACCATCTGTTGTGGTAGGGAGGAAAGGGATTGTTAGTAATGGAGACTGTGAATCCCATTGCTAGCAATATACCCAACCAGGTCGACCTCCTCGTGGTTCTCCCTGGAAACTATTATGGTTAATTCCTGATGAATTCATCATGATGGGCTAACTGGCCTGTTTTTATTCTCACCTATCACCGTTCACTGGTGCTCCGCCAGCGTATCCCATTAGCGCAGGCGGGGTTACCATATCATTTTCATCCATCAAAAAAAAAAAATCTGTTGTGGCACTTCTACTATGTTAATATTTACTATCTTTAGGATTGTAATAGCACAATGAGTAAATATTTTATGTTACTGATTAACATACATTATTATTGTATGATAGTTTCTTACAACATTTGTGCAGTTTATAACACAGTGATTTTGGGGGCCAGGGATGTTAGTAATGCAGACTACCAGATCCATTGCTAGCAATATTCCCCGTCAGATCGCCCTCTATGTGGTTGTCCATGGAAACCATCGTGCTGAATTCTAGGTGTATTTATCACGATGGGGTAACTGACCTGCTCTTTTATTTTCACTTGTCATCCCTTACTGGTGCCCCGCCGGTGTATAACGATAGCGCAGGCGGAGTTAGCAATGCATAATCATTCATAAAAAAATAATAATATTATCAAATATGAAAGTTTGTAAACGACTGATTTACGCAATTCAGGCAATGCTGTAGGAAACAGCTAGTCACGTTACTATGAATTTAAATTCTATTAAAGATAATTTAAATGAAATAAAATATTTCTAATATTTAAATTTTTTGCGCTACTTTTCGCTGCGATATCGGAAATTTGATACCGTCTTCATACAATTATATAGGTGTTTTTATCTGTTAGTTGTGTAGGTCTTTTTATTTTTTTAATGGATGTTAATTAAATAGTAACCCTGACTGCGCTAATACGAAGGCGGGGCATCAGGGAGGAATAATAGAGAAGAATGCAAAGGCCGGTCAGCACGATGATTTCCAGGGGGAACCACATGGAGGTCGACCTGACAGTACCAATGCGACTGAGTCTGCATAGAATAGGCTACTCTTTCTTTTCCCGTAAGTGTCGCAAGAAGCGACTAAGGGAGCTTATGGTGGAGTGATGGGCGGTGTGTCCCTCTTAAAACCTCACCAAAAGCCAAACTGTGGTTGCCAACTCGCCTGCCAAGCATGGCAACTACTGGCAAAACTCGCCTGGAAACTGGGAAGACTATGTTCAGCGGTGGACAGTTAACGGCTGATACAACAAATCTATTTATATTTAAATAATTTAACAATTCGATTCTATAGGTGAAAAATTTTCAAAATCGATTAAATAGTTTTTGAGATTATTCATTACAAATGTACATACAAACAATCAAAATTTTCCTCTTTATTAGTATAGATATTGTAACAGTCAAATCGTACTATATCCTCTCGTTTACTTTAGCAGGTAAATTATAAAAGTGCTATAGGTTATAAAAAACTACGAGAAAAGCTTTCTAAAATACAAAAATAGGTAAATAGAATTATTTATTTATTTTTGTAATGACAGTATTTTACAAGAAAAGCCTTTTCTTGTAATTTAACAGCACATAACATTTACAATACATTTTTGTCAGCTCTTGTAAATGTTACATTGATGACTCCATCGATTTCTATAATATTTAATGATGTTTATCACTTTCTGGTTATTTTTAAAGCTTCCATTCTTCACTTTTTGATTAATTGCTTCTTAATGACAGAAGGCATTAGCGAACCTTAATTTATTGTTAATTTGATGGGAGAAGCCTACCGTTTGCAGATTTGATCTTATTTATCAGGGGGGATTAAAATCGACAATAGTCGCGCTCCATTTGTGTCGGCATCGGTTCGTCTGTCACTCAATCATCCTGAACTTAACTTTATCTTTTACCCCATAATTGCTTAATGGAGTATTTAAATTTGTAAAGAATTCATTATGACCGAGAGTACGCTTTGTTTGGGCTGTTTCACGTAGGTACTTTAATTGATATTAGGAATTAAGAGTAATAAGTAAAAATATTGTGTAGTAGGTATTTATTACAAGTAGGAATTAGTTACCAAATTACTGTAACATATGGCGGTCTAACATTCACGAGTATCCAACATTCAAATTTCTTGAACCGGTCAAGCGTGATTGTGTATTTAATATATATTCAATTATTTACAATTCTCACAATATATAGTATGTAACACTAGGTATTAATAATATGTAAAGCAAATGTGTTGGGCCTATCCAGTATTTAAAATTAAAAAACAAAGGAAATTGTTTTATCGGAAAAAATAGATTATTTATTGTTACTCTATTGGCCAGATAATATAATAAAATATATACTATATTATTACCAGAGGGAGACTTTGTACAAAAGTCAATTGCTTGGGTACCTCTGTGTGTTATGTTTGCATGGCTGTGTTTCGGTTTGAAGGGTGGGATAAGGCGTGAATTTACAGGGAACAGAGGAATAACACCTGAGTCCTCAGGAATGGCAATGCATGGGGGGTATCATGGGCGAAACAGTATACTCTGTTATGTCCATGGTACTGCTCATATCTATAGGCGACTGTTACCACTTTTAATCAGGTGGGCCGTCAGCTTGTTTGCCATTCTAAGTTGTATAAAAAAAAAAAATTCTAAAGTAAAATAACACAATTAGTAAATCTCTCAGATGAATTACTATCTCTGACGTCACGTTTTTGACAGTCGTTGAGCGATGTTCATCCTGTCATTGCCCCAACTTTTTTAATGTTGGCGCAAAGCGCTAGTGTTGTCCGTACAGTAGTATTAGCAATTATTTCGGAAGTAGTATTTAATAATCCACAATGGGAAAGGCCAAAAAATAATCTATACAGCCTGATTTTTAGTAAAAAGATTGTATATAAGGCAAAGTTGCCATATCTATCATCATCTGGAGAAAGATGAGACGAATATGTAGAGTGGAGCTCTAAACAATCCTGAAACGTATATACTGTATGTATATGTAACTTTTTACCTTTTAAAATTAATGAATTACACGTTTGTATCG